GAAGGCGGTGGTTAGGAGAGATCGGAGTCTTGGAGGGAGGGAGGTTGTGGTTGCGACGAGTAGGAGGAGAGAGAGTGAGAGAGGAGGGAAGAATACTAGGGTTTTGGGAAGTCCTTTATCGAATTTGGAGGGGATTGGTAAGGAAATTGGGGGGAATTTGGGAGGGAAACGGGTCGTTGGGACAGATGAGTTGCCCGAATGGTGGACGAAATCGGTTTCAAAGTCTGTGGGTTTGGGGGGAGATGAGATGTTGAAGGGAGAAGCGGATCGATTAGTTAGAGGTTAGTTTTTTTTTTGAAAATTTCTTGTTTTTCTTCGTATGAAATGATAGATTGAGTGCTATTTACGTTCTTGAATCCTCAGATATATGATTAATAGATACCAAGACATTTCGAAACCTGTTCAATGTGACAAACTTATCATGCTCAGCTAGTAACAAATTGACAGCTTTTGTTCAAAGCTACTTTGGTGTTAAAAACAAAGGAGGGTGACAACCACATTCAATAAGGTTAGGCGCGTCCGTTACAAACAACATTATGAGGGTTTTCGGTTCCGCTGCAAACGCTGATATTAGCAATTTAGCATTGCAAAATGACATTTTTGTAGTAACAAAATAAATAACATGACAGTTTGGTGTCAACATCAGTTTCTCGGGAACTAATCTGTTTAAAGATATTTTACCTTGTTAGACATATGAAATGTTTGATTCAGTCCCTTTATTTCAGCTCTGTTTCTTTGCAGGTAAATATGTTCGTCCCTCTTTATTGAAATTGATTTCATAGAAGATTCCCTCTTGCTTTTTTTCCTCAGATTATTGTAAATTGACTTGATTACCAGCAATTTTGGATAACAGACTGCACGGGAAGGATTATAAGGATGATGATATAATTCAAGTCAGTGCTTTTGAACCATTTGTTATTTCAATATAATTCTGTGTTTCATATTGTGGAATGATTTATTATTCTCTCATATAATAACCAATTTAACATGAGTGCTTCATAATATAGAGCATACAAGTCACTATCTTGTTCCTCAATGTAACTTGCAGTTGTGAATTTGAATTTTTTTCTAAAAAAAGATTAACTAAGCTTCTTTCTTTCTTAATGGAGCAGCTTCGGCAAATATGTAAAATTTCTGGTGCAAGGGTCTCCTTTGGAACAGCCAATGCACGAGATGCTTTTTATCGGGCATCAGTGAACTTTGTGCTTAACATCTGCAGCAGGTGCTATGCATGTTGTGCATTCTTTTCATATTACCTTTGCTTCTTCACGAATTTGGTATTTTAAAAAGTAAATCCTGTCTTGAAGATTTCAGTTATCCTGTTTGATGATTTTCTTCTCCTCTAATCACCTTGTATATTTCTATTAATTCATTGATCTTTCTGTAAATATTTCAGAGTAATGCAGCCTGCTGACACCATTCAAATTAATGGTGAGGATGCCAGACAATTCATTTGTGGGCTTGCCGACAATATTGGACTTGAGGATATTCGTGCTGCAAGAATTTTACGTGCAGCTGTTGCTGCCAAGACTCGATCATGCTTTTTGCAGTCATGGGTATGGCTTTTTTAACCCATACTTTTTACTTCGAGCTAGTTTTTCTTAGGCATTTTTTACTTTCTCATGATGTCTTCATGTTCAGTCTTTTGAAGTGCAAGGCAAAAGATTTGAAGCATTAAAGGAACTGTCAAAGATTTGTCAAATCTTTCAGATTTTTCCTCCTGAAGAATACTCGGTATGTACTTATAGTTTGGTTATAACTGGTAATGCCCCCTGTGTGCTTGTATTTTATGCTTGCTTAAAATTGTTTGTGCTTTTTATTGGTCAAATGTCCTTGCCTCTGTTTTATATCTTGAGTGATTATATATGTTGGTTTCTCTATTATCCCTCTTAGGTTTCTGCTATGTTTGTGATAGCTATTTTCCGTGTCGTCATTTGTGAGAGCTCTTGTTGCATATACCAAGCACTTTATTATTTTAATACACGAGTCATTGTTGCATCTCAACGTTTTATACTAGCCTCAAAACCCTGTCTATTCGTTCAGTTGTTAGCAATGTTTAAATATCGGCCGATAAACCAATATTATCGGCAATTTATCGGTTTTGGGGACCTTCCGCTATGATAAGTTCAATTCTAAATCGGTTATCGTTTTTTGATGTTTATCGCCGACAATGCGGCAATAAAGTGACTTATCAGTCGATATTATCGGCCCAAAAATCGGAATTATCAGCATTTGATTTGAGTTTTGATTTTGGGCAACGGGCACCTATTCAATGCATTTTAAACCCAACCCTACCTGAGTTTCTACAGCTGGCTAGTGATCCTAAGCATAATTATTTATATTTTGGTATGTTTATATTTCATTAAGTATGATTAGATTACATTTTAGAATATTATATTATGTATACCACCATCCAGTAATGGCACTTCGATAAATACTACTTATCTCTGAGATATCCCCGATATCTACTATCTGATATGAATTTTGACCGTCCGATAAATCCCCGATAACCGATATTTAAAACCTTGGTTGCTAGTGCTCTCACTTTACATATCCAGGAGAAGTGCTAAAACTTTGGATCTATGACACTCATGACCTCTACAAAATGGTACTTAGGTTCAAGTTTGCTGTAATGGTAGCCTGGAACCTGCTTAGGCAAAAGTGATGCGACACAATACACCATATATAGTCACACAATCTAGGGTGATCCAAGCCAAATTTACTTCTCTGCTTGGCAAAATGATCCTCTGCGACCTCTAGGAGCTTGTCTGTTTGGTTAGCCTCAGCTTAACTTAGTTTTCCCTTCTTTGCCTGCACACCTTCATTTTTTTCAAAAAAAAAAAAAAAATGCTCCAGCTAGACTTTTTAAAGTTTAGAAGCTATAGATAGAGAGTTTCTTCCCCTGTTCATTACTTTTTGTCCTATACGAAAGAGACTTTTAGTTCTTCAGATACAATTTGCTCTGCTGCTTGTTAGACTTTGGGAACTTCTGGTTTAAAGTTGCTGATTGTCTTCACCATCCTTTACAATTGAATGTCCAAGAACTTTCTTTTATTTTTGAAGGCCTTATTATTAATAAATTTGAAACAATCAACCATAAACTAATTTTACAAATTAGGCTTGTTTCTTATTTTATATTGTTCTGTGCTTCCATTTTCTATCACCTAATGATTCAGTAATTCGTTCCTGCAGCCCGAAATGGAGATGGTAGCTAGCGGTCTGAAGAAGACCATAGGAATAGAACAAAGGAAACATCTGCTGACTCTATTTAAAGAAGCCTGTGGTGCTAATTGTCAGAAAACTGCTGAAGAAGCGCTTGGTATTGTAAGCAACTTGGCACCCTAATTATAGTACTGTCATCATCAAATGCATTTGTAACGAGGATGAAACTTGTTGTCAATTATGACAATTATCCTTGCAGGTCTACAGCAATGGGTATGAAGGCGGTGATAATGAGTCAAATTATGCAAATTCTGAACTGCTTTGACATTTCTTGTAAAGGATGGGCAATTCTTTAACAATCCAATTTGTCACAGTTGTAAGCAATTCCTCTTAGAAATTATTTGTTACTAATTATGAGAAGGAAATACTACGCGAGCTGAATGTACTTGGCGTAAACTGATACTTCATATTTTTATTGTAACTAACATACAAAACATTTGAGCAACAAAAAATGATAAGAGGAATTGAAACTTGGTGACTTTCGTGCCTTTTGTGATTCTCTGTGTATTGCGTCCGCATACCTTTAGCTTCTTCGTGTTGTTTCTCTTTCTTCCCTGTTGTGTAGGAGTTGTAAGTAAATCCATTTCAAATGGAAAGAACAAAATGGTCGAAAAGCAAGATTGTTCGACTGATAGCACGACGACATAAAGTCACTTTTCAAGGAGGCAAACATTTTATCCGACCTTTAGTAACAAAGGGTTTACAAGAGTAACAATTAAGTATTGAAGTTTGTACATAAGAGTACTGATAAAAACAAGGAGGGTGTAAAGGGTCACTTAGCTGTTCTCAAGAGGTACCAGCTCCCATCTGCAATCAGCAGAAAACTGTAGCAATGAAAAATATATACTTAATTACCATGACTGAGATGATAACTATTACAAACAGACCTGGAAATTCTCAACTCCCCAGTATCCAATATACATATGTATGGTTGGTTACAAAAAGATTTGAGTCATTTATATAACTAACAAGACTCAAATTTACTTCATAGGCTAAAATTTCACTTTAAAGTCTTATCTACAACTGCAAGAACAATTTGCATACGAGGGGAAAACAGTTTGTCCTTCACGGGTTCTCATTCTTGTAAGAAGTATCCAACTGCCCAAAATATTTTCCAGCTATAGTAACAAGAATGCTCCACATAGCCACTTCTTCATCGGGTTCTGACTTAAGCGCCATAAGGCTCGAACACTTTCGAAGCAAGCATCTCAGCGAAGCACAGGTGTCGGCATGGAGAGGAGTGTCAACGGCTGCACACAGCGCAAACAGCCACAGGCAATCGTCCCTTGAGAGGACATCAGCAGTCTCCAATGAGCTTATGCTGTTCCTAAGGGTCGCTGCACGAGAAATGGCATCCATTCCTAGAATTGTAGTCAGTGTCGGAGTGCTTTTCTTTAGTTGTTGAAGGGAATAAGATTGTTTGGTAGGAGTTGGTTTATCTAGTTCATTGTAAGAGCTTTCTAGAACTGAAATCTCCTGAAAAGAGAATAACAACAACATAGTAAATAACACATGAGTGGAATTAAGGAACATAGTAAATAACATATGAGTGGAATTAAGTGTTATTCAAAGCTTGAGCATAGTATTTCAGCATGCAGATAAAAATCAATACACTTGGATTGAGGAACAATGCGGCTTAAAACTGAAAGCTGCCTTCTATATTGTCCAGCCTAATCAATTTGAAAGCAAAATGACAAATTGAAGATTATTAGAGGCACAAATTTTAGGGATTGAGATAGACGAGGGTAGAGAGACCTAAACTTGAGATGGGAATAATTTCATACTGGTTTAAACCAAGCCATTATAATGTATAAGAAAAATTTAAAGATGGAAATATCTAAAACTTTTATTAAAAGACGATAAGTTTCTAAAGCTAAGTAACATGGTAAGAATCATCAAGTTCCTCAAATATGATCAGCTGAAAGAATAAAGATCTTCAGGGATCCTTATGAGGCAGCTCAACAGTAATAAATGCCGCACATTTAAGCTTTATGTGACTAGTTACAACTGCCGAAGGACTTCATTCGGTTTTAGGATCATCACTCGAGCATCCAAAGATAGGTTACATGTTAGATTGTATGTTAAGTATAAAATCCTGATATTATTTTTTTAATGCAAAATTTGATGAATATAATGCTTTAACTTCTGCGAAAGTCTCTACCAGAAAAAATATTGCGTCTATTAATTTTATGCAGCGTCTAACAATTTCAAACAACTTTCTGTTTATTTATCGTGCTAACTGTATGTTTACTTCTTTAATTTCGAGCAACTTTCTGTTTATTTTGAATCCAGATTTTCTTGTGCATCGTCCCCTGAAAAATGAAAAAGTCTAACGACACTCGCCTATTGCGACTATCCTTGGAAACTCGCTGTAATTAGACTTCAGTATGGTTGGGTTTAGGGTTAGGTTTATAAATAGTTTTGGGATTTGGTTATGATTTGGGACACATGCCCCCTTATTAGAGCGAATGATAACGAGAGTTGCCGAACGTGACTACCGCTAGACCTCCTCCTGGAAAATAGGCTCCCTTCTGATGAATCGTTAAGCAACCAGAAGTAGATTAGACAGAGGATAGAGATGTAAATATATAAGAAAGATACAAGAAAGTCCATGTTCCAACCAAAGAAAGCAGGGTGGAGCTGCAGCAGCCTTGCGCACCGTACATTTGTTAATACAACAAAAGGAGGAAATAGTAAAGCAAATCCAATCTAATTGCCCATTTTCCTTTGGAAACATTCTATGTTAGATAATGTAGTATACAATTCCATCCCATGAGATTTCCCATATCATTGAATGAGTTCCTACAGTTAAGCAGGCCAAAAAGCTGATCCAAAAAGTACAACAGATTAGAGAGTTGAGGAATATGACTCGTAATTCTAAATGGAAAGCTCATTCAATTTGTTGATAAACAGAATTTATGCGGAATCTGAATTTTACAACAGTAGTACAAGATATATTTGACCAAACAGGAGAACAGCTCTGTGTGCTACAAATTCAAAAAGGCATCAGCAATGGCAATTGCTTCCCCTGAAGTGCTAATCGGATGAAATCAATTCCCACAATCCACTTAAGTTTTCTTATTGACTAGTGATTTTATGGGGGATTGTTTCTTGCTAGCAGCATCTAAGGCACACTGAGACTGCAAGGGTTATAAAATTGAACTGTGATAAACTTAAATTACTGTTGACTTGGCAGCTTTGGGCAGAAATTCGTGCTCAAATTTTTTTTCAGGTTTGACAGTTGGTCCAAAAAATTTGTCCAATTATTGCAGGGTTTATCAAGTTTGAATTTGTGCTTCATAGACAAGCCCACAAAGGAAATGTTTTTTATAATGGGAATTATGATGAACAGTAGGCATTAGCCAAAAACTAGTATAACAGAACTCACCTGTCTTAATTCTGAAAAATCAGCAAGGAATACGTTCTCCCAATCTTTCAATGGCAAGAGGTTCTGTGGGCACTTTGTGATCTCAGGAATACTGGGCATATAAGCTGTTTGTTCACTGGTAAGCTTGCTTGAATTGAGCTTGACCACTTTCACTTTTGGTATATGTGCAGATTCCCATCTATGAAATTGACACAGTAATTAGGATATACAAACAGTAAAGATATATACATATAATCTAAGAATCTACAAAAGTAATTCAAGAAGATATCTTTTCAGGATATTATGTGTGCGTGCCGAGTGTATCATTAAAATTTTAAGTATGATTCCAGGGGTGGAACAGTTTTCTTTAAATCTTTCTAGCAGATATTTTTAAAATTGAAAATGTATGTTTGGATGTAGAAAGTTGGTATGTTTGTTATTGGTATATAAGGTTGCATTCATTCAACTACTAAAGAGATTCTACAGCTCACTGTTATGCTGACTATATATTCTTGAGGGAGGGATCATTAAGAGTTAAAAATGAACTGAAGCTACAAAGGTCGCAGAAGTGCCACCAATATACCAACTTGTTTATTTATAAAACAGACCTTGTAAGAAAAAAGCAAGCATATTACATTAATATATATTAAAAAAAGCCTAGGTGCCACCAGCCTACTTGTGGAACTATAGTCCGCAATAGATGGTGGGCCCCACGAAGACACATACATGATTTTCCTATAAAAAAAGACATACATGATTTAGTTCCTGCTTTCTCTGCAATACACACATACATACACACACACACACAACACACACACACACACACACACACACACACATAAGTACTTATCTAAATTCCGCTTCCTCTATTTCTTTTTCAACTAAAAATCAATCACAGAGTAGCAAAGGTTCTATCAAATTTCAGTTTTGATACCCATGTCTATATCCCATTCAATGTTTTGTCGAGTTCGTATCACATGCTTAGTGATTGGGTAAAATAGATTTAAATGCATTACATGCTAATCACATGCAAAGGATGTGATAAAAAATTTAATGGAATTTTTCTAATGAAATATGGACGAGGTATCAAAGTGAAAATGTGATTTAAACTTAGGATATTAAAGTGTTAAAGAAATAATTATGGGTATCAAAGGGTAACAAGATTGGAACTTTGGGTTTTAAGTGTTAAAAAAGTACTTGGAAACATCAAAGGTAAAAGGTGAGTAAACTTCGGGGTACCCAGGTGAAAATAAGCCACCAAATAACCAGAAGGGTTTTTCTATATTAGTCTCTTAATCTTATATGTTTTAAATTAGCCCTTCAAAGCAGTTAAATTGCTATTAAGGCCCTAAATTCTTAAATTTTTTTTGAAATTAGTCCCTCACATCATATTGAAATTGCTATTAGATCCACTGATTCTTAAGTTATTTTGCATTGAATCTTTTAAATCAAAATAAAATAGCAACTAGAGAGATCTATTTGAAATGGATTCTAATAATTGAGGATCCTAATAGAAATTCAATGTGTACCATTCTATAACGGTAAACATAAGAAATATGGAAAGTCATATATTCCTAAGATATTATGAGAGCAAGAGCAACAATATCTATGAGAACTCAATATGGTCCATTTATGATGAAAACAATTCCTGATTCGCGCTTTTTATCACATGCTTGACGATTGGGTAGAATGCATCTAATATATCACATGCCAATCACATACTAAGGGTGTGATATAAATTTAACGAAAAGTCTAACAAAACCTAGATTCAGTGTATAAAAGTGAAACATGATTGGAACTTTAGGGTCCAAAAGTGATAAAGAAATATTCTAAGGTATCAAAATCTTAAAGAAATACTATTGGGTATCCAAGTGAAACATGATCAAAACTTTAGGGTGCAAAAGTGTTAGAAGAATACTTTGAGGAAGCATCAAAGTGAAAAGGTGGGCAAACTTGAGGTACCAAATGATATAAGCCATGAAATGACAATTTTTTTCATTTTAATCACTCAAATCTTTCATATTTGTAGTTAGTCCTTTGAATTATTGAAACTGTTGTTATGTCTAGTTCCCCAATTCGTAAGCTAGTTTGAAGTTAGTACCTCAATCATCAAAATCGTTACTAGGTCCCCAAATTCTTGAGCTATTTTGAAATTAGTTCTACAAATTAAATAATTAATTAGCAACTAGAGGGAACACAACTTATGAGAATTAAGAATAAAATTATGATGTACAACAATTTCATGGAGCAAGCATGTGTGTTGCACGTGCTCTCCTCACTAGCTGCTCTCCTTACTAGTTACATTAATTAAAAAAGAAGACTGGTCTCCTGGGACCATGTTCTATAGCACATTTAAGATGTGAATGGACAACTAGGTTGAGATAAAGATGTGTTCATTGCCAGAAAATTGAGGATATCCAGGGAGAGACAATTGCGTTGTCTACCAAATAATCAGAGAAGAGAGGATCTACCCTTGCATAGTTGTGTATACAGAAAGTAGAATGTTTTGCACAAACAAAGATGAAATGACCGCAGATTGGACTCAAAAGAAAAGGCAAATATGAGTAGCCCAAATTCTGTCCAAATATGTAAGTGGTATCTACTCCATATAAACAACATTGACAATGACGTATTATAAACGATTTTTTTTAGCCTGATAGGCCAATAACACATGAAAATACATAACATAGAGGTCTTTCGTTACCTGACACGTCTAAGGTATTCCCATCCATCTTCAGGTGGCCCAGATTCAAAATCTGGTTCTCCTTCTACAAAAAAAGCAGGCCTCTGAATGCTGTCATACTCATCACTGCTGCTGTTGTGTTCATCGATGGTGTTTTCATATTCATCAACCGACTCTTCAATATACATGCCATTTCCATTTTCGTGCAGGGTGTCACCACAAACATTTAGCACATTTGGACCCTTCGTAGTCTTTAGCGCTGAAACATCACCTGCAGTATGCAAATCTGGTTGGTACAATGTGCAACAGCAAACAATAGATCAGACAAGTGTGTAATCAAGTGAAGTTCACAGTAGAATAATTTTGGAAAATCAGATATTCAATACTTATTTCTTCATGGTAATTCAACAAGGAAACCTAATTGCAGACTCTTACACATCACTTTATTATTACTGAAACCAGCAAATTTTCTATCTCCTTCTCATGTGTCCACAGGCTCTCGATGAAAAGAACTCCACTTAAGACTTCTGATAACTAAATAGTTAGAAGAAAAAGAAAGAAAAGAAGGATTCCCCAACTATCTACCAATACAATTTACGGATAGAAACATATAATTTCTCTTTTATTTAATCTATTGGTTATGCAAAGGGAATCAAGGTTATCGATAGCGGATAGCGTCAAGTAGCGGTGAAGCACCACTGAGGCTACTTGGGGTTATTGAGGCAAAATAGCGGCAAAAAGCGTAAAGTCAAATATCGATCTAATTAAACATGTATAAATATTAATCTAGAAAATCTAAAAATACATATTTGATGATTTAAAGAGATTCTAAGCATAAAATAGACATGTAGCTATCACATAATATCGAAAATGACTAGAGGTGGAGTCGAAGAGTTGTCGTCTTCGAGAATATGAGTTGAGCGGTGAGAAGACTGCAAAAGGAGGAGCTCACGGCGAGAGGAGGTGAGAGGAGGTGTTGTGACGGTGAGAGGTGTTGAGGGAGGTGCCAGAGGCTACAGGAGGCAGTGAAAAGATGCCAAAAGTCAGGGAAGGTAGTGGGATGCGGTGGGAGGCAGCGACTTTTGTGGGGGCTAGGTTTTTTTTATAGTTGGATCGTGAGGGGACTCAAGAAAAAACTATGGCCTATAAATAGCGGTCAAAAACACTTTTAAGTAGCGTTGTGGGTGTGGGTCGGGTTTAATTAAAAAATAAACCTGAAACCACTTTTAAATAGCGGTCAAAAAACAGATTTTACCCGCAATCGCCCGCTATTCACTGTTGTGGCACGCTATTGGCCACTAACGCTATTATGTCACTGCCTGCTATTCGTGAGCAGAAAGCGTATACTTCGCAATATGTCACTGTTATGGGCGATATTAATGAGTAAGGAGCCACTAACGCTATTAATGCCACTATTGCAGCACTGTTTACCGCTATTTATAACAGTGAAAGGAATTCAACATTTCTTCCAATTTTCCGAAGGAAATAGGTGTTAAAATATACCCCTTGTTTAACTAAGGAAAACTTAGTGGCTATGAAGCACGGACACGCATAACATGAAGCCGTGTCGTGTCGTGTCCGTGTCGGACACACGTGTCAAACACACGCATCCTATGTATTTTTTAGGATTTGCCTCGTGTCGGCGTGTCGGGTGGCCGTGTCGGATCCGTGTCCGTGCTACATAGCTTAGTGGAACCTAGAAGCCCATACCACAAACGATGCATAGTTCATAACATTTCATGAACATTCGGTCAAATGTTTCAATTTCAAAGTATATATTTTTAAAATAACGCCAGACAACCATGCTCTCTGTAGACTATCTGGGAGTACATCATACTTCATGAATCATAAACATTATTTATATATCTGTATTTAAATTTAGATTATTTAATGTGAATAAAAAGTTACATCAACTCTCACACCTAATAATGTTACTTACTCTACCTCTCACAGTCAAGAATAATTTGTATACTTTTGAGAGTGTGTAATATAAACAAAAAGTTAACTAATTGGAGTATCATTTGCGAGTAGTGAAGTATGATTCATGACCGTTCATTCATATATCCGTGTTTTACCTACTTAAGGAGTATTTAATTTGAACAAAAAAATTGATACGATTATTATCACACTCATAATTTTATGGCCTTGAAGGGTAAAATGGGAACTTAGGCTTGCACTTTCACCTGCTTTCCCTTTAAGGGAGAAAAAAAATCCGATCACTTTCAGCTACTTTGTTACTTTAATTGACAAAAATACTGGTTCCAAACTTTTCAGCTGCCTGTTAAGTCTTTCCTAAATACTTCTAGAGGGCTCTCCCCGTAGATTGAGCTGAATAATCAATACATCTACTGATGGCCTCCTAATTTTCTAGCAACCCCTGCCAATAGACTATGACGCTTCCTCGAGAACCAATCTCATAAACTGTCCTGCATAACAAACACTTTAGTAGGCCCTAGAATACCAATGAACATGGAAATGCTGTTGAAATATTGCCATTCCCAATGAATTTAGATGAGAAATTCACATGAAATCAAGATCTATAGTACAGCACAAACTAGATGATAAGTAGCTAACAACAAAGCTGGCATCCAAAGTTACAGTGAGAGACATCTCCAGATATACCAGCGGAGCTGTTGCCACACAACTATAATGACCTTCAGCACTAATTGCCTTCAGATATATTCATTTACCAAGTGCAATATGCCCTTCCTTTTCTCATTTGTGTAATTTCTCACAGGTGCTTCAGCCTCTCGCTTTCTCCCATAGTAACAATTTGTTTTATTTTAGCAATAAGTTTACCTATGATGTAATCATTATATCAACTAGCAATACATAAGAAACATGCAACCAATGGGATTCAACAAGTAACAGACACAAACCTATATATTGGTCAGTAAATCACCTGTAAATTAATGGGGATGTGCTGATATGTATGTGTATACATCACCTATTCTTATCATTATGATTATATAAAGAAAAAATTCACCAAATACTTATTTGTGTTACTTAATTATCTAGTATCTAATAGCATCACCTCATTAAATTGTGATTGGTGGATATAGGCATCATACAGCAAATTGATAATCACACCCTGGATACAGGAATCTCCCAAAAGACACTGGAATGCACAAACATCCAGACACATGGATATGTATGAGTATGCATGTGTGTGCGCATGAATGCGGACATCTTGACATATATACAATTATTTAAACTTGACTAGACATTTACAAATAAAAGAAACTAAAATGAAAACATAAAGGTAAAATCTCATAATTTATATGATTTTCCAAAATGTTCCTTGTACACATAATTTGTGACCAAATTACTAAAAGTGGACAGAGCTGTAACATGCAAAAAACATGTCTCATGGACTTCCTTGTACAAATAAGTGCTTGGACAAGGTGACACTCACCCCCCCCCCCCAAAAAAAAAAAAAAAAAAAAAACAAAACAAAACAAAACAAAAAACAAAAAAACAAAAAAACAAAAAAAATTTAGTATGCAGAAGGTATGCTCAAGGCAGATACTCGTCCAAATTTTAGTATGCAGTCCTACATATCATACATTATAATTCTCACTGGTAATTTTACTGATACTCCTACAACTTTTAGTATGCAGTTCTACATATCACACATTATACCTCTCACTGGTAATTTTACTGATATCTGAAAGCGCAAGCTGCATGAGTTATTGTTAAGACACAGTAAGTAGTAAATTGCAACAGTAGACATCACGATAATGGTTGATCTCCAAACTAGCAAAGGTCTATAACCTTAGATTGTGCACCAAAGTCAAAAGGAAACCATCAGAATAATTCCAGTTAAGATTGCCTTTGGCCTTCATTTAAGCACCAGTTTACTAAAAAGTCATAAGGCTGAAAGCTAGAGGTAGACTCATCTTTTTCGCTCCATGCGCTTGCAGGAAATCAATAATATGATATCTTTACTGGCATACTATGTTACACAAACATAGACAGATACATATATGAACACAGACATGGCGCATGCCAGAGGCATGGTTATAGGATATGTATAAAACTACATCTAATATACCGTGGTATTAGCAAGTTTACCAAAGTCCCATATACAACAACAACAACAACAACAACAACAACAACAACAACAAAGGCTCCATCCCAAGTTTTTAGTGTCGAATACATAAATCCTATTCCTCTGTTAAGCAAGGTTTTAAATGTTGGCCTACATGTTCGACATGTCGGTTTGAGGGCTTGAGCGACACGACATAGATGTTTTCAACTCGTATGTCGGTTTTCAGGGCCAAATCGGAAATATCAGAACCATATCGGAAATATTGGTCGATTTTTCAGCCTTGAAAAATCGGCCGATATGACCCTTATTTTTTTAGATCTGTTTTTTGTTATCAGGTTTGGGTTTAGTGATAAAAACCCAAATCCGTTTGACCCATTCTCATATTTAAGGGTTTCTTATGAACCCGATAGAAAGAAAAGAGAAAAATTAGGGCTACAGTGGATTTGTGAACCGATCACTCCTTTCGTGAACGACGACACCTTTCCCCCACCTCCATCTCAACCCCCATCGTTCATCTCCCGTTGCGCCCCGAAATCCGAACTCCAACCAAACCCGAGGGCGACAGGGTATGCCGTCGTTGGGATAAAGGAAAGAGGGTTGTCGGTGACTCATCCGAAGGACCCCGAGCAGATGAAGAAGAAGAAGAGCCCCAACACTGCCTCCTTACGACGTCGGAATCCATCCATCGCCGGCGCTGCCTCTAGAATTTATAAAGTATGCTTATATTAAATTTATGAATGTTTAGATTACATTTAGGACATGATATTATACATATGCGCACCACCCGATATGGTAATCCGATATTTAGTCCATGTCCCCCGCTATATCCTCGATTTCCGCTATCCGACATGGATTTCAACCGTCCGACATGAACCCGATATCCGACATTTAAAACTTTGCTGTTAAGCTAAGCATAACAATATCCTTCTTAATTACTTTCAACCAAGTTTTTATAGGTGTACATCCAGATCTCTTTTCTCCATTAGCTATACTATTATCACTTCTCCTAACCGGTGTACTAAGAGGTCTACATTGTACATGGTCATATTAATCGATTCTCTCTCATTTTATCATCTATAGGAGCAACCTCTAATTTACTACAGATACACTTATTTCTTATCCTATCTTTTAGTGTATACCCACAAGACCATCTCAGGCATTCTCATTTCTGCTACACTTATTTTTTGCACATGTTGCTTTCTAATTGCCCAACATTCAGATCCATAAAACATTGTTGATCTTACAACTGTCCTATATAATTTTCTCTTAAATCTAATAGGTATTCTACGATCACAAAAGACTCCCGAAGCATCCCTCTCCATTTTAACCATCTTGATTTGATTCGGCTGGCGGCATCATCCTCAATATCACCATCATGCCAAATGGTTGACCCTACATAACGTAATTGATTGCTTTTAGATATTTCTTGGCCATCAATATGCACTATAAGCTATTTTCTCCTTCTAGTTTTATTAAAGGTGCATTCCATGTATTTTATTTTTACTTTACTAATTCTAAAACATTTAGTTTTAGGAGCTTGTCTCCACTTTTTTACTTTAAAAATTATACATGTTCTAGTCTCGTCAACTAATACTATATCATCAGTAAATAACATACACCATGACACTTCATCCTGAATATGTCTAGTAAGCCAGTCCGTAACTAAAGCAAAAAAGATAAAGGTTTAAGGCTGGCACTTGATGTAAACTTAAGGTTCTAGAAAATGACTTAATCTCTCCTTCATTAGTTCTTTAATTATTACTCTACCATACATATATTTAATCATATCAATATATATGCTAGATACGTGCTTCTTTTCTAACACCCACCACATTCTCTAGGCACTCTATCATAGGCTTTTTTTAGGTCAATGAAAGCCATATATAGATCCTTTCTTTTCTCTCAATATTTCTTTATTAACCGTTTCAAAATACGTATAGGTTCCATAATTGACCTCCTGAGCATAAAACTGAATTGGTTTTCAGATACACTTGTGTCTTTTCTTGGTCTTTGCTCAATTACCCTCTTTCAAAGTTTCATAGTATGACTCATGAGTTTAATACCATGATAGTTTGAATAACTTTGTATATCTCCTTTATTCTTATATATCGGTATCAACGTACTAATCCTCTACTCATCGGGCATTCTCTTTGTCCCAATACTTATATTAAATAACTTAGTTAACCATCCTAATCCTATCTCCAAGACATTTCCAAACTTCAATAGGGATATTGTCTAATGCTATGGCTCTTCCGCTTTTCATTTTCTTTAGAGCATTTTTGACCTTACTGATCCTAATTTTTTGACAATATTTATGGTTTCTATCATTCACTATATGGTCAAATTCTCTATGTTGCTCACCTATTTGGCTATCATTAAATAATTTACGAAAGTAGCTCCTCCACCTCTCTTGTATTTCCTCATCGGTTACTAGGACTTTTTGATCTTCACTCTTAATACACGTAATATTACCCAAGTCCCTACTTTTACTTTCTCTCATCTTAGCAAGCTTATATATATATATATATATATATATATATATATAATATATATAATATATATATATATATATATATTATATATATATATATATATATATTTCTCCTCAGATTCTAACCTCTTATAGAAATTTTCATAAGCCTACCAAAGTCACATATCAAAAGGCGGCTGATTCACAAAATTCTGAACTTCATAATAATAGGAAATATTCTAAATAAAGTTGTAGATGTGACAACAGTATCTACCATGGTTTTTAACTGAGTAATATGTTACAATCTAAACCAAAATCTCACATGAATCAGAGAAGTAGTGTTCATTAGTGTCTTGAACTACCTTCCATTGTAATCCAAAAGCAACTTGAAGCATGCACGTGTAAACATATAGGATTCTTTTGTTTTTCTGTTTCTTCTACTTTTTTCTTTTTCTTTCCTTTTTGTTTTTTGTTTCCCCCCCTAAGATATCTTTATTCACTTTTTAGGTTTAATTCCACTCATTACATGGTTCCACCACTAGAGCGTAACAAGACATAAAACCACAAGCTATTAAGATGAGTTTTGACAATCACATCTCCACCTTGATATATACCTATTCTAGAAGGGAACACATTTCATACTTCTAGATGATCATACTTAATATAAATCATATTCAAGTCTTTCAGTCTATACTAATTTCTGAGATTTAACTGCACACCTCTCTTGCATGTTTAAAAGTCTCTTTATATAGCGAGCGTCCAAGGTTCATAATTTTCTGCTAAAAAAAATTTCATAACCCTGGCAACTAAGATGTCATTGGAATACCATTAACTGATACCAATGACTGATACATTACATGCATTAACAAATAATGTGAAACGAACTGGATGTATAAACAATTGGATGTATAAACAATTGTAGAAGAATCAAATAAACATAACATGAATTTCAAGCAAATGAACATACTCAAACATTGAGAAGGATCCATTTTCTTCCCTGCAGACTGCTTCGAGCTGGCATTTTGTGGTTGCTGCTGCTTCTGATTGTTGGGAGCCCAGAGCAAATCAAACTCTTCAACAATATATGGACTAAGCTTATCATACACCTCCTTCCACCACCTTTCCTGCTCCTCGACATCCACAAATCTCAAAACTTCCATTTCACTTCTTGAGTAACTCAAACCTTTACTATTTTGATTTTCTATTCTGCCCACATCTTTCGTCTCCAACCCTCCATTACTTTGAGCATCTCCTTCCCTTCCCATATCCAGGGCAGAAACCACATGCTCCTGAAGGGAGTTTACTTCCAATCCAATATCTCCCATTTGGACATGATTGTCGAGATCCATATGACATGCCTCTGAAATTTAAAGGAAAAAAAAAACAAGTGTGCCATACCCATAATCAGATTATGTGTCTGAAAAATGGAACATTCAGGGTCTAAGTGCATTCGCACATGCATACATATATATAATGCCAATTGCAGAGTAACTAATATTAACAGTAGAGACCAAATTTTTATTTTGTACCAATTGAACATTTGGCATTACTCATAAAAAAAAGACAAGAAGTTATTGATCAATTTGACAATGCAACTGGGTTACTCAGTCAATTTCTCAGCGATGCTATACCGCCGCTCGACCTAATAGTGAAATATTCAAATGTTACCAATACAAAAAAGAAACGGACAAAGATGAACAATTAAACTTAGGGACCCAGGTATCAAAATCACATCTTTCTTCTTCCAATGTCAATTACAGGGAAAAAGAAGCAAACCCATTTTAACAGATGCCTCAATTTGTAAGAAGAGTTAGGGGAAAATAACTAACCCAATACGCTTTTCTCCTTCTTCTTCTTTTTCTGCTGTTTCTTATTCTGATTATTGGGAACTCGAAGCCCGTCGTAATCTTTAGCTACATCCGATTCAAGGCTCTGATACACTTGCTTCCATTTCCTTTGCTGCTCCTTGAGACCAACGAACCTCAGCGATTCCAACTCATCAGTCGAATAAGAGCGATGTTGGAATTTGCGAGAATTTATGACCAATTTCTCTTGATTTACATCCGAAATTTCTGTAAATTTTGATTTAGGAGTAGGGATTTCGTTGGTTTCGTTGATATTCTGGGTCTCGAGTGCCATTTGAGCGCGCATAAACCCTATGATCGAGTGGCTCGTCCCCGAAAACCCAGAGCTCGGGGTATTTTTGCGTGTAGGTTTGCAGATATAACCCCAGAATATTTGTTTTTACACTTTGCAGATTTGCATCTAGAAAATTTACCTAGTTTTGGGGGGTTTTTTTTTTACAATAGTCCCGTAAGTCTTTCATGTTTGAAATTAGTAATCACTAAAATTGTTATAAGCTCTCTCAAATCTTAACTTATTGGGAATTATTCCCTCAAATCACTAAAATTGCTATTAGGTCCCATGATTTTTGAGTAATGTGAGATCAGTCCCTCTAATCAAGTGTAAAAAAGAAGCAATCCAATGGATTAATTCGAAACACCTTATGAGAATTTAATAATTTAAGAGCGATTTCTTTGATTTGGGACTAATTTCCCGCTAAATGCTACTTGCACAGTTGCACATGTTATTTGAGGGACTAATTTCAGAATAATCTACGAATTTTCTTTTCTTTTCTTTTTTTTTTTTTTGGGGGGGGGGGGGGGGGGGGGGCGTTAATAACACTTTTAATGTTTTGAGGGACTAAGTTGAAACTAACTTGAGATTTAAGGGGCCTGATTATGTCATTCTTTTTTGCAATTTCTTTTTATTGTAAAGATAATAAAGAATAAAACAGACACCTAATTATTTTCTACTATTTATATATTCTATTCTTTGAGATTATTAGAATAGTGTATTACCATGTTAATTGAAGGCAATATCTTTTTATATATTTAAAAATTTTCATCAAAAGAGTTGATGTATTTTTTCTTAATACATTAATGGGTTGTTTGGATATTTCATTTCTTTATTGAAATACAATGTATAAATGTGATAAATACAACATATTGGATTTCAAAATAAATAAGTTTGAGCATTTGGATCTATGCTTGCAGCTGGAAAGTTGTGTATTGTAAAATAGGTGGGGGGTGGGGTGGGTGGGGGGGGGGGTACTTCTGCTCAATCCCTAGCTATTTAAAGCCCCTCACTTTGACTAGTCAAGGGTTGAAAGCCCACACAATCTTAATTGCCAATACGTTCGCTCAATCATCCTTAATTGCATATTAGTTCCTCACCATCTTCATTTTTATCGCCATTTCGCCCTTCCTGTTAGGTAACGTTATTTATGAGGATTAAATTCTATCAATTTTAACGAAAATTGATGCTTTTTCTTCAATACCCCCACCCATAATTAACCCTATTGTTTAAAAACTTATCAAGTTAAGATCTTACTAATGTTAGCCCTTATGTTTTGATGATGTTCTTACAACCACCATTATCGGTACTAATGGCTTATTGAGTATAAATGTAGTAGAATCATTTGTCAAGCTCGTTAGTGCCATTAACGGAGGATGGATGGAATATACGCTACAACGAAGATATCCAAAGGAGGAGGAGGCCAAGAGATGAAGCAACGTTATTTCAAGAACGACAAATTCAATCAAAAGCTTCATCCGATTCAAGCTATATCAAAGCTCAAGTATATTGCTCTTTATATGAGGATATTAGCTTTTTTTTATTTTTCTCTCTAGTGCTAGAATGTAGGCAAAGAGTCACTGAGTTTACTTGAAGCTATTGGGAATCACACACACGTTTTTTAGACTTGTGTTTTTAAGTGTTTTTCACAAAACATTATTTCTCACAAGTATGAGTACCTATCTGCAAAATTCTTTTTTCAAACAGTTTGTTTTTAGTATTAAAAACATTTTACAAAGTTTCAGAATTTTCAGAGGTCAATCAAATATTTTGCAAATATTTCAAGTTGGTAAAATAACCTGATTTCAGAATATGTCAGAAATCGGTCGACCGGTCCGGTCGACCGATCCGATGACCTTTCTTCACTATGTCTCCAGAGTGTTGTCGGTCGATCGATACGGTCGACCGAATTTCTCAACCCTTAATCGGTCGACCGTGCCGGTCGACCGATGAGTCTCTGGATGTTTTGTCAAAACTCCTTAGCTGCTGGCGGTCGACCGATTTTTTCGGTCGGTCGACCGAAGGTATTTTTCGGTCGACCGATATTTTCTTCGGTCAACCGATTTTTGCCTCTGTTCAGCCGCGACTTTTTTAAAACGGTCGTTTGCCTCGAACCCTGTGCTTTCACTTGTTAGTGATTGGCACAGTCTGTGATGAGGGTCTGAAGAAGAGATTATTATCTCATTTGGGTAGATTTGTTTTTGTTTTAAAATGATTTAAACTTTCCTATAAAATCCCCAGACCTCTTCTTCTTCCTTTAAGCCCTAACGTTTGAAAACCAGAGAGCTTTTCTGTTTGCTGAGAAAATTTTTAAAACTCTGTTTTTCTTTCTGTTTCAAGTGTGTTTCACTTCCCAGCTTCAGTACTCTTCTCTTTGCTATAGGGGCTTGTGTAAAGAGAGGTTCTTGCTTGCTTTTTCTTCTGCTGCTGTGTGGTTGAGATCTGTGGAGATCTACTGTGAGGGAGTGTGATCTGTGAGATCAAACTGTGTAGTGAGAGAGAGATCTTGTGGGATCGCTGTGTAGACGAAGTTCCGGCTTCCAAACCGGATGTGTTAGTGGATTTCTCCTCGAGAGTGGGGAGCGGGGACGTAGGTCAGCGGGCCGAACCTCGTTAACACATCGCGCGTCAAGGATAACGATTCCTAACTCTATCTCTTTCTATTTGATTGCACTTCTGTTTTGTGGTTTGTTTGTGCTGAGTTTTAAATTGCATATTAGAGCCTCTTGACCCTAATCACCCCCCTCTAGGGTTCAACAATTGGTATCAGAGCTTGGTCTCTATATCAGTTTTTGGTTTAATAACCGTAGAGAAAAGATCTAATGGAGGCCTCTTTGAATATGCATATGCTAGAAGGACAATCCACAACTAGACCACCTCTCTTCACCGGCACTAATTTTGCTTATTAGAAGGCTAGGATGAGAATTTACCTTCGTTGCATAGACCTTGACATTCTAGAGCTCATAGAAGAGAAATATGAAGAAAAGTCCAAAGTCGGGAACATGACCGATGGAGAAAGGCACCTAGCTAATCTCAACGCTAAGGCTATGAACGCCTTAATTTGTGGTCTTTCCCCTAATGAATATAATAGAGTTTCCACGTGTGCAACCGCATACGAAATTTGGGTAAAATTATGTGTCACACATGAAGGAACCCCCCAAGTTAAGGAATCTAAGATTAGTGGACTTATGCATGATTATGAGCTATTTAAAATGCTTCCAAATGAATCCATTGATGCTATGTTTTCTCGTTTTACTAATATCATCAATGAATTACATGGTCTAGATAAGCAATTATCCATTCAAGAGATGAACTACAAGATACTTCGCTCATTGACTCCGGCATGGGAGCCCAAGGCTACGGCCATTGAGGAAGCTCATGACCTCACTACCTTAGCTCTTGATAGCCTCATCGGAAAGCTCAAAGTGCATGAGAAGAAGCTCAAGGGGAAGGAAAAGGAGGAAGTGTCATCACGCGAAGTTGAGGAGCCGTCACCAAAATTGAAGACCATAGCTCTCAAGGGAGCTAGTGACAACTCATCTTCGTCGTCGGAGAGTGAAGTTGATTTTTCTAGAGAAGTGGCTCATCTCTCTAGAAGAATCTCTAGACTTATAAAAATGAACAAAAAATTTAACCCTCGATCTAACAACAAGTTTTCCTCTCGTGTAGGTAAATGTTTTGAGTGCAATGAACCGGGTCACATCGCTAAGGATTGCCCCAAGCTCAAAGAAAAGTACATGAAGTACAAGAAGAAGAAGGCTATGTATGCCGGATGGGAAGAATCCGAACCAAGTGACTCGGATAGTGATGAAGAAGGAGCCAAACTTGCTCTTCATGACCCAAATGTTTGTTTCATGGCAAATGAACATGAGGTAATATCCGAGGCCGAAAGTGAATCTTTTTATATGCAATGTGACATAGCTATGGCTTTAGAAGAGTTGAACTTTGAATTTAAAAGAATGTCTAAAGAATACTCTTCTTTCAAAAAATTGCATGCCTCTTGTGATATTAAGCTAGAACAACTAACAACCTCTCTTGCTCTAAAAGATGAATTGCTTGGAGATCTCGATTTTGAGAACAAGCAATTAAGATCAAAGATTGAAAGACTAGAAATTGAGGGTTGTAGGACTAGACCCACTCATGCTTATGCCAACTACAATCACCATGGTAGAAATAGGTTTCATGGTTCTAACATTCGTACATACAAAAGAAATTTTGTATGCACCTATTGTATGAGACATGGACACATTTCTACTCATTGTAGAATTAAAGACAATGAAGATTTTTATGGTTTGATATGGGTACCCAAAGGTACCAAAACTACTAACCACCAAGGACCCAAGACATGGGTACCTAAAGCTACTACACCTTCATCTTCTTCTTTTGTAGGGAACGTCACGGCAACGACGTAAGGAGATGTGGTACCTTGATAGTGGTTGCTCACATCATATGACGGGCAACAAAGAGTTATTTGCAACCCTATCAAGGATTGAAGGAGGCAATGTCTCCTTCGGTGGTGGTGAGAAAGGTAAAATCATTGGTATCGGTTCTATTGGTAAGAAACCCTCACCCATTATTGAAGATGTTTATTTAGTAAATGGCTTGAATCATAATCTTCTTAGCATTAGCCAATTAAGTGATAAAGGTTTTGATATTTCTTTTAAACCGGATAAATGCATCATTAGTATGGATGGAAAAATTGTTTTTATTGCAAATCGCAAGTCTAATGTTTACATTTTTGAGATGAATGAGTTAGTGAATCAAGATGTGAAGTGTCTTGCGGCAATTGATGAAAATCCTTGGATTTGGCACAAGAGACTTGGACATGCAAATATGGAGTTAATATCAAAATTGTCTAAGAAGAATCTTGTGAAAGGGCTACCTAGCTTGCACTTCATAAAAGATACAATTTGTGAGGATTGTGCCAAAGGTAAACAAACAAAGTCTTCTTTCAAATCCATCCATGAGGTATCGACTTCTAAACCCTTGCAATTACTTCATCTTGATTTATTTGGTCCTATGCGTGTTACCTCTCTTGGAGGCAAACACTATGTTTTTGTGATTATTGATGATTTTTCTCGTTTTACATGGACAATATTTCTTGCTAAGAAAAATGATTGTTTTGAAGAATTTGCTAATCATGTTAAAAGAATTGAAAATGAAAAGGATTTGAAAGTTGTTAAAATAAGAAGTGATCATGGTGGTGAATTTCAAAATGAATTTTTCTATGATTTTTGTGCTCATCATGGTATAACTCATATGTTTTCCGCTCCTAGAACACCACAACAAAATGGTGTTGTTGAACGGAAAAATCGTACCATACAAGAGATGGCACGCACTATGTTAAACTCATTTGATTTACCAAAATATTTTTGGGCGGAAGCCGTCAATACGGCTTGCCCTGTTTTAAATCGTGTTTTGATTAGACCAAAGCTTAAGAAAACTCCTTATGAACTTTATTATGGAAAAACTCCTTTCATTGGTTATTTTCGTGTCTTTGGTTGCAAATGCTTTATTTTAAATACAAAAGATCACCATGATAAATTTGATTCCAAAATTGATGTTGGTATTTTCTTGGGTTATGCACCTCGAAGTAAGGCTTATAGGGTCTTCAATAAACGAAGCCTCGTTGTTGAAGAGTCTATAAACGTTACTTTTGATGAGACTAATGTTGGCTCTCAAGTTGTGTTGCCTAGGAAAGATGATGATGATGATATTGAGGGAGGATTGGACTTGTTGCAAATCAATGACACTCCCTCTATAGAAGTTCAAAAGGATGTGGATAGCACAAACGCTCAAGATCAAGTTGAACCACCTAAAGCTTGGAAATTCACATCAAATCATCCAAAGGAACAAATCATTGGGAGCCCTTCAAAAGGAGTTATAACTCGCTCAAAAGCCTTGAGTGAATGTGGTAATGTTGCATTTCTATCTCAACTAGAACCTAAAAAGGTTAATGATGCTTTAAATGATGAGTTTTGGGTTTTGGCTATGCATGAAGAATTAAACAATTTTCAAAGAAATGAAGTTTGGAAGTTAGTTCCTAGACCTAACAATGCTAGTGTTATTGGTACAAAATGGGTTTTTAGAAACAAACTTGATGAACATGGCATTGTAACTAGAAATAAAGCACGTTTGGTTGCCCAAGGATACAATCAAGAGGAGGGCATAGACTATGATGAAACCTTTGCACCGGTTGCAAGGTTGGAATCTATTAGGATGTTTTTGGCATTTGCTAGTTTTAAAAATTTCAAACTATTTCAAATGGATGTCAAAAGTGCTTTCTTAAATGGTTTTATAGAAGAGGAAGTGTATGTTGAGCAACCCCCCGGTTTTATAGATCATGCTTTTCCTAATCATGTTTACCGGGTACAAAAAGCTTTATATGGGTTGAAACAAGCTCCTAGGGCTTGGTATGCTCGCCTCTCTAGTTTTCTTATTGAAAATGGTTTTTCAAAAGGAACAATTGATAACACACTTTTTGTGAGAAAAAGGAAAAATGATTTCATTTTGGTTCAAATATATGTGGATGACATTATTTTTGGTGCTACTAATGAATCCTTGTGCAAGGAATTTTCTAAAGTTATGCAGGATCACTTTGAGATGAGTATGATGGGAGAGCTTACATTCTTTCTCGGGCTCCAAGTCAAGCAAACTAAGGATGGGATCTTCATTTCACAAAGCAAGTATGCGAAGGAATTGGTGAAGAAATTCAAGTTGGAGAATTCTAAGCATGCGCCTACTCCCATGAGTACTAGTGTTAAGCTTGATGCGGATGAGAGTGGTGAAGATGTGGACCAAAAACTATACCGAGGTATGATAGGTAGTCTTCTTTATCTCACCGCTAGTAGACCCGACATCATGTTTAGTGTATGTGCATGTGCACGTTTTCAAGCGTCTCCAAAAGCATCTCATTTAATTGCGGTTAAAAGGATCATTAAGTATGTTAATGGAACTTTTAACCTTGGTTTGTTTTATCCAAAAAGCACCACTTTTGATTTATATGGTTTTTGTGATGCCGACTTTGCCGGATGTAAGGTAGATCGCAAGAGTACTAGTGGAACATGCCAATTCTTAGGAAATTCCCTTGTTTCTTGGGCTTCCAAGAAACAAAATTGTGTTGCATTGTCCACTACGGAAGCGGAATACATTGCCGCCGGCTTATGTTGTGCTCAAGTTTTATGGATGAAACAAAGTTTAGTTGACTATGATTTGAATTTTCAAAATATTAAAATCTTTTGTGATAACACAAGTGCCATAAATATTTCCAAAAATTCGGTTTTGCATTCTAGAACTAAGCATATTGACGTGCGCCATCATTTCTTACGCGATCATGTAGAGAGACAAGATGTATCCCTAGTATTTGTTGACACCAAATCTCAACTAGCGGATATATTTACTAAGCCTCTTGGAGAGGATGATTTTTGTCGCATAAGAAATGGTTTGGGCTTATGCACTATGTGAAAGTTCTACATTGCTTGCTTGATTAGTTGCATTTTGCATTTGGCATTTCTCTTTACCCCATTTTTGATGGTGACAAAGGGGGAGAGAAATCTCCTCATTTGTTGCATATATTTAGGGGGAGCTCATAGATAGGGGGAGCACCTATCTATAAGCTATTTCATTTTTGCTCTTATATAATGGTTGGTTGTCATCATCAAAAAGGGGGAGATTGTTAGCCCTTATGTTTTGATGATGTTCTTACAACCACCATTATCGGTACTAATGGCTTATTGAGTGTAAATGTAGTAAAATCATTTGTCAAGCTCGTTAGTGCCATTAATGGAGGATGGATGGAATATATGCTACAACGAAGATATCCAAAGGAGGAGGAGGCCAAGAGATGAAGCAACGTTATTTCAAGAACGTCAAATTCGATTAAAAGCTTCATCCGATTCAAGCTATATCAAAGCTCAAGTATATTGCTCTCTATATGAGGATATTAGCTTTCTTTTGTTTTTCTCTCTAGTGCTAGAATGTAGGCAAAGAGTTACTGAGTTTACTTGAAGCTATTGGGAATCACACACACGTTTTTAAACTTGTGCTTTTAAGCGTTTTTCACAAAATACTATTTTTCACAAGTTTGAGTACCTATCTGCAAAATTCTTTTTCCAAGCAGTTTGTTTTTAGTATTAAAAACATTTTACAAAGTTTCAGAATTTTCAGAGGTCAAATGAATATTTTGGAAATATTTCAACTTGGTCAAATAACCTGATTTCAGAATATGTCAGAAATCGGTCGACCGGTCCGGTCGACCGATCCGATGACCTTTCTTCACTATGTCTCCAGAGTGTTGTCGGTCGATCGATACGGTCGACCGAATTTCTCAACCCTTAATCGGTCGACCGTGCCGGTCGACCGATGAGTCTCTGGATGTTTTGTCAAAACTCCTTAGCTGCTGGCGGTCGACCGATTTTTTCGGTCGGTCGACCGAAGGTATTTTTCGGTCGACCGATATTTTCTTCGGTCAACCGATTTTTGCCTCTGTTCAGCCGCGACTTTTTTAAAACGGTCGTTTGCCTCGAACCCTGTGCTTTCACTTGTTAGTGATTGGCACAGTCTGTGATGAGGGTCTGAAGAAGAGATTATTATCTCATTTGGGTAGATTTGTTTTTGTTTTAAAATGATTTAAACTCTCCTATAAAATCCCCAGACCTCTTCTTCTTCCTCTAAGCCCTAACGTTTGAAAACCAGAGAGCTTTTTCTGTTTGCTGAGAAAATTTTCAAAACTCTGTTTTTCTTTCTGTTTCAAGTGTGTTTCACTTCCCAGCTTCAGTACTCTTCTCTTTGCTATAGGGGCTTGTGTAAAGAGAGGTTATTGCTTGCTTTTTCTTCTGCTGCTGTGTGGTTGAGATCTGTGGAGATCTACTGTGAGGGAGTGTGATCTGTGAGATCAAACTGTGTAGTGAGAGAGAGATCTTGTGGGATCGCTGTGTAGACGAAGTTCCGGCTTCCAAACCGGATGTGTTAGTGGATTTCTCCTCGAGAGTGGGGAGCGGGGACGTAGGTCAGCGGGCCGAACCTCGTTAACACATCGCGCGTCAAGGATAACGATTCCTAACTCTATCTCTTTCTATTTGATTGCACTTCTATTTTGTGGTTTGTTTGTGCTGAGTTTTAAATTGCATATTAGAGCCTCTTGACCCTAATCACCCCCCCCTCTAGGGTTCAACAACTAACCCGTTTCAAAACAAGCCTACCCAAAGCACGCTCTAATTAGAATTCAAACCCACCAATTTCTTCTTCTCCAACGATAATACAAGTGTCATCCTATTCCTAAATTAATGTACATTACCTTCGATAATCGCTGAAAATGTCAAGATTATTCAATACATATGCATGAACCTGCTCCAAGTCAGATCTTGGATATTTTACGAGTTTCTTCTCCTTAGTTGGGGGCTGATCAGCTTTTACGCGGTTGCGCATGTAACGTGATGCAAACGTATGACATTCGTTGGTCACGTAACCTTCAGCCATAGAACCCTCAGGATGAGCTCGATTGCGAACTAGACGCTTCATAAACCCCAAATATCTACAATAATTAAAATTTTATGAACTACAAATATCTAATCTTAAGAAAACCATGAAAACGATAAATATTAGCTGTATACATTGCATATGAAATTAATGCACTGGGTGGAGTCCCCTACCTCTCAATTGGGTACATCCAACGGTAAGATACAGGACCCGCAAATGATTGCCTCGCTAGCTAGATGTTGAGTAACATGGACCATGACCGTGAAAAAGGAAGGAGGAAATATTAACTCCAGGTTGCATAAAATTAATGATACTTCTGTTTCAAGCTTTTTAAATTCCTTCACATCTATAACTTTCGAGCACAATTTTCTGAAGAACCCACAATACTCCATAATAATTTTCGATGCTTCTTTCTCCATATTATTACGCAATGCAACCGGGAGCAATTGATGTAGAAGAACGTGATAATCATGGGTCTTTAGGCCTAAGAGCTTCCTCTCCTGTACCTGGACATTATTTGATATATTAGCTGAATACCCATCCGGTGATTTTACTGATTTCAGGACCTCACAAAATCTCTGCATCTGCTCTGTCGACATCGTAACACGAGAGGAAGGCTTATGTTTTTTTTAAGTCCAACATCTTGTGCTTGCAAATCTTCTCGGATATTCAATGCAGCTAAGTCTTGACGAGCCCTTAGGTCATCCTTTGACTTATTAGGATCTTGAAGGAGGGTTGAAACTATGTTGTCACAAACATTTTTCTCAATATGCATGACATCCAAGTTATGCCTGATTTTAAGCTTTTGCCAGTATGGCAGCTGGAAGAAGATACTGAATTTACTCCATCCCTTTGGTAAGTTATCAACTCCATTATCAACATGTGCCCGTTGGAATGCTCTCTTCCTCTTCAGTGTCTTTTTCTTTTTGCAGGTGCCTCTAGCTTTGAGTGAGTCGTACTTAGAATATCGGTTCTTACCAAATCTAATTTTAGGAAGATGCTCAAGCAACTTTGCAATATCAGCACCGGTCATTTGACGTGGTTTATTCCTAGTCTCAACAGTGCCATCAAACTTATTGCTCAATTTTCTGTATTTATGGCCCGAGGGCAACCATCTCCTGTTGAACCAATAACAACACTTTCGACTATATGGTAAGTGAAGGCCTTCAAATTCTGGGCCACATACTGGACAAGCAAACTTGCCTTTTGTCGACCAACCAGAAAGATTAGCATAAGCTGGAAAATCATTAATTGTCCACATTAGGATAGCACGAAGTCTAAATGACTCTTTAGCATGGGCATCATATATCAACATACCCTCCGACCATAACTGTTTTAGCTCATCAATTAAGGGCTCTAAGTAGACATCAATATCATTACCCGGTGCATGCTTACCCGGTATCAGTAATGAGAGTATCATATACGGTTGTTTCATACAAAGCAGTGGGGGTAAATTATATGGCATTAAGACAACTGGCCATGTAGACCAACCTGAACTCATAACCCCGAACGGATTGAATCCGTCGCTAGAAAGCCCAAGTCTGACATTTCTGCATTCACGAGCGAAATTAGGAAAAGTCTTATCAATATGCTTCCAAGCCTCTGCATCAGCTGGATGTCTCAGCTTACCATCTTCTATACGATCTTCTTTGTGCCACCTCATGTTCTTAGCAGTGTCTTTGTTCATATACAGACGTTGCAATCTGGAAACTAACGGGAAATGACGAAGCACCTTAGCTGGAATCATGCTCTGCTGGGACATTGACTCTGTTGGCTGCCTTGTTGAAGAGCGGGTTTGTTGTTTCCATCGAGAAACTCCACATGTTGGACATTCCTGAAGGTCTTTATTATCCTTGTAGTAGAGAATACAATCATTGGGACACACATCAATCTTATTGTAATCAAGCCCCAAATCGGAAACTATTTGCTTTGCCGCATAAGTTGTTTTAGGAATGCTACGCTCTCCTCCTGGAACTACCTTCCGTAGTAAATCAAGAAGCATTTCGAAATAAGTATTTGCCATTCCACTGAGGCTCTTAATATGTAAGAGCTCCAACATAAATAAAAATCTGGAGAACTCGGTGCAACCCTCATACAAATCATTTTCACTATCTTCTAGTAGTTTCATTATACGATCCAAGTCCTCAGGAGCATGAGCATCTTGGACATCAACTATGATATCATCTTCATTGTCATTGTTAATATCATATTCGGTATGGTCAGGTCCAATATCAGTCTGTAAATTTACATCTGTATCATCTATCCTGACACCATGACTGGTATCGACATGCACATCCGGGACTTCATCTTCGGTACAGCCTTCCCCGTGATAGGACCAATATTTATATTCCTCGTAAAAACCAGAGTTTGCTAAGTGACTTCGTATTTCATCTTTATTTTTCGGCTTCATATTCTTACACCTATAACAGGGACAGTACATTGCACCGCTACTTAAATTTTTTGGGTTCATTTCGGCATACTTCATGAAGGCTTCACATCCATCCCTATATCGTTGATCACGAAACCGTTCACTACACTGTGCGGATGTTATTATGCGCACTGACAACATATCAAAACGCAAAACAACATACGCTTATTGTACACGGAGAACAACAGGTATGGGCTGCCAAAATTTTTAAGAAATGAAATCATACAAAGTATACAAAGTTGGATGTATGCACTATTATATTCCTAACCCGTCCGAGAAGGACAGATCCAATAATTACAAATTTTTATACCAATTCATTTCTATTATAATATAAAGTGAACGATCAATTTCGAGTAGGAAAATTTACCTCTTACCCAAATTTGACTCGTTCATCTAATATTATAACCTCAAAGAATTGGCTGTAATTATTGGACGGGAGTCTAGGGTTAACGTTATATTTTTTACCTAAATTGGATATATAACACATTATTATATAATATTGCGTTATATATCACTCTATTTTTTTAAAACCTTTTCTTCCAAACTCACATTTTCAAATCACAAGCCTATATAATCATATTTGTACAATTCAAATCACAAACTGTATGATAAACATGAGAGCCTTGTGGGCTTAACTAGCTAAACAAGATAACAGAAATAGAAGTTGCCAATGATATACACCCATGGCTACTTATAAACATCAAAATCATATGCAACCCATGGCTTAACTGTCAAGAATGGATCTTTAATACATCCATCATGATGAGTTACATTTACAGTGTCTTGTTACTCTTTTATCAGCCTTTCTTCTCAAATTTCCAAACATCTATTCACTGCAAAGCTACTGTGCACGGTAGATGAGCATAGTAATAATATAATTGTACTACGCTTTTGATTGTTACGCTTGAGATATAGTTTGAAAATATCATCCAGATTAAAAGTACTCCCTGTAAATAACTCCCTGTAACTAGTGAAAGTATGGATCAACAACATCGTGGATGTGCTAATTTTTCTTACTGTGGCCGAATAGAGAAAAACAAAATTTTGGATGAGAATTTGTTCACTGTTGAATTTTTTTTTTCATTGACTGGGATGAACATAACCCTAAAATTGCCGCACAATGAACAAATTTTTGAAAGGAGTCTTAAGTGATATAGGATTTCCAATTTTACTAGTCGAATTTTGAGGGGGGATGAGGATGTTTTAATTGAAAACAAGGTTGAACCAAAAGACAATTTACTAATTTATACCAAAATCTGAAGATTTGAGTCATAGGAAAAGGAATAAAGTACACAGGAGTCTCCGTTTGAAAGTTCGAAACATCATAAGTTCTTTCGAAAGAAAAGAAAAAGAAATTACAGACTAAAAGGATGCGTCACATGATGCTCTAAACCAAAATTTTCGATAAAGGTCGAACAAATACTACCAAAAGTGGAAATTTTTTAATCAGAATTTAGCGACCCCGGGTTATCTTCTGAAAAAGCCAATTGCAGAAATATTATAAGAAAAAAACTACCATGCCGAGAAAAACCCAAGATTGCAGATGCACCCACATCTAGTTTCATCACGAAGGAAGAAACTTCACTCAAAATTAAACATTTCCGAGTGAAAAAAATAAAAAAAAAACTACCATGCCGAGAAAAACCCAAGGGCTAGGAACTCACGGCGAGGTCGGGCGACGACCGATGCGACCAAGGGCTAGGAACTCACGGCGAGGTCGGGCGACGAAGGGATGCGACGACCGATGCGACCAAGACGGCGAGGTCGGGCGACGAAGGCGGCGTGGACGGGACTCGAAGGATTTGGGGTTTCCTCTTTGAAATGAGAATTTGGGCATTTGGTGTCCAGATCTGGGGTTTTCCACTTTTTAAATTGAACCGATTATTCTAGACGGAAATTTCCGTCTAGGATAGTATCCTAGACGGAAATTTCCGTCTAGGATAATCGGAAAAATTCAAAAAAAAAATTAAAAAATATTTCCGTCTACAATACTTTTCTAGACGGAAATTTCCGTCTAGAATAGTTTATTATAGACGGAAATTTATCGACGGTTTAATTCCGTCTAGTATAGAATATCCCAGACGGAAAATTTTCCGTCTGGGATATTCCGTCTGTGATATTTCATTTTCTACTAGTGCTAATCAAACGTTTTCCCGCTTTCATAGTGGGAAAAATTGGGGAGAAATGAACTTTGAATTACTTAAGAATGTAACACATACACAAAGTCAACTAGGTAATTTTAGATATTGGGTTAAGGATTAACTCAATTAGTGTTAGGGAAACAAATAAAAATTCTAATAGAGGGATAAAAAAATTCTAACAGAGGGACTAATAAGCAAATATTGAGATTTGAAGATTCAATGAAGTTCTAATGAATTTTTTTCTATTATTGATTTGAAGATTAATGGTTGTATAAAAAATTCTAGGATGAAGATGATGATAGTGAATTTTTATAGTAAATTAGTAGAGAAAGAGATGTTATAAGTTAAGAATTTGAATGGGTGTATGAGAATTAATATGTTAATGGTGGGTTATAAATGTATAATTTAATTAATGAGTTAAATTATTTGGAGGTTATACATAATGAAAAGTTTCTTTACTGAGTCTTTTCTACACTACTACGAAGACAACTTTTAATATTCCCAAATATTATCATATTGTTTATTTAAATTGTAAAAAAAATTTAATACCTAAAATTCTAAGAAGTTGCCGAGTGGCAACTATAAGAGCTTGTTTATGCGTGTGTGTATACATTCTAGTGTCATTACCCGCACCATGTTGCGGTAATTTTTTAAAATTAATTATAAATTTTTACTTTATATTTTCTTTGCTCAATCTTTGTGATATGTTAATTTAATAATCAGCTTGAGCCCTGAACATAAGAATTAAACTAAAAAAATATATATTTCACAAACTACGGTGTATCTTGAGCAATTGAAAAAAAATCTAAATTTACATAATCTTAAATATGATTAAGAAAAAATTAAACTTACACTATTAATATATAAAATATTAGTATCTTTCTTAAGGATACGGGGTAAACCTTCAATTTCATCAAGTACTCTATTATGCATGATGTACATGGTACTTAAGCTTTGCATACATGCACCTCCACCAACTTTGATATTGACAACTACAATTGAACATAATTTTGTGATATCGGATTACCATTAATTAAATTTTGTACAAACGATTTACACTCCTATTGTGAATATTGTTTTGCATACAATACATTTCCTCAACGTGCTATTAGGAAAGCTGGATATCAAAATCTCATTGAGAAAAATTCAAACAAATAACCGACAAAGAAGAAACATTACAAAAAAAGAAGCAATATAGGGGGGAAATTATAAATAAAGAAGCAACAAAAGGGATCTATTTATATACCAATAACAAAAAATACACAAATAATATGGATACATTACTTTCATAAAATGGAGTGTAGCATTAAAATTTTGCAAGATGGATGCATAAGAAAAGCCCAATGGAGCATACCTTATCAACAATCACATGCATCATTATGGAGTTGGAGTTAATGATAAAAAAATGGATCTAAGAATACTTTTACTTAGATTAGTTTACAAGATTTATAGGGAGGAGATGAATTGAGAAAGAGTGGGGAAGTTGATCAGGCTTAGCCGTTAGTGAAAATTGAGTTGATGAGGTAGTGACAATTACTGCAATTAATGGTAATTAAGAGAGGTTACATTTTAATGCTTCCTGAAATTTCAAAGGTTTGAATTTGACGCGACATTATGACCATCTTCAATTTTACGAACAACAATTTTACGAACAACAATTTTATAGTAATTTGTGTATAATAGATAAGATTTGGAAAACTTTAATTGATGGATGGTAGTATATAAAATTTTTAGTATTTGTATGAATATTTGAAAGCTTTAGAATTTTTACAGATTACATAGAAGATGAATGATCAATTCTTTGGAAAATGGACATGTGGCCAATTCTCTAAACAATTGACATGTGACATCCTAAGGCATTGTTTTAGTGTGTGTGTGTATATGAGAAAAATGGGGAATTAATATACTATTTTTATATATATTATATATCTATATATATATATATATATATATATATATATATACTATATTATATTTATATATATTATATGAACACATTATATATATATAATTATATTATATTTATATATATATATATATAAATATATATATTATATGTAATTATGTATATTTATATATAGTGATTTATAGACAAATATGTGTCATTAGTGAATCATAAATTTTTACCTTAGATGTTTACTAGAGGATCTTTGCGGTGATATGAAGTGACTTTTGAATAATGTTAATGAAGTGGATATAAGTTTGGTGGACACGCTTTTCACTATCTTAGAGTTGACCAACAGTTTACTCTTCTCTCTCGTCCTTCCTATATATATTATATAATATATAATTATAATATATATATATGATATTTAATATTATTGTTTTGGGGGCTGGGCGTTAGGCGGATTAGGGCGATTTGGCGATCTGCGATTTTGAATTCTCTGTTGTGGCTTCGGCCATGACGGATCGGGAGAAGATTCAGAATGGATCAAATAGAGATGTTGTGAGAGCCCCCTTCAATCCTAATGGAGCAGGAACAGTAGCATCTAATGAGGGAGAAGATCAAGATTGGATCAATGTGATTTCTCGTAAAAGGTATAAAAAAAATTTTTCTTCGAAATCTAAGGATTCTCAATCTTCTATCGATTCTTGGAAGAATCATCAGCATGCATTGAAAAAAGATGGTGGTCGAAATCAGCATTCAGAATCTAAGATCAAAGTAAATCACACATTGCTCCAGAAACAGAGATCTGCTGAATCTTGGAAATTTAAATCGGTTGGCTCTACATCATGGAAGGATGTCTGCACTATGGGAAGAGTAATTAACCAAAATTGTTCTTTAGAATATTATCCCCCTTCTATCGATAGCAAAGGTATGCAATATGCTTCTATTCCTAGATCGGAAATTCTTCTTAATGTTGAGAAATGGAGTAACACTTTAATTGGATATGTTCTTGG